GGGTGGGGAAAAGGCATAAATAAAATAACATAAAATATACATCAATGTAGCCTGTGAAGAACTTCAGAGATGGACTCACAATGAACAAGAAATCGTTCTGGAGAGACAAAGACAATCCTGAATGACAATGGAGGGAAAAATACAGAAATGAAGTGAAAAAATGATGCGTTGTTTGACCAATGGAATAAAACAAAATAGGTCACATGATTAGACGTCATTGGTGCTTCCTAGAATCTAGTAGCAGATTGTTTCCCAAAAACAACAAAAAAAGTTTTTGGTCCTTCTATATATATATGTATATATATATATGTATATATATATATAATTTTTAGTTGCAACAGTGCTTCTCCGAAAAAAGGTCCATCTATAAATATAATTTTATTTCTTTTTATTTTTAAATTTTTAAAATTTTTATTTTAAAATTCTCCATCTCACTCTACGTATTATTTTTTGAATGGCGTTAACCTGCTGAAGTTTTGCCAGAATGGTGACTGACTGCGTTTGGGTTCGGTGAACTCGAAGACCTGGGACTGGGATATGCCATCTGTCACCATGTATTGTCCCTGATTTAATGGATCCTGGGGTGGCGGGTAGGCTGGAGGAACCGACCTGGAGTAGCTGACACCTGTATCGACGGTTGGGGGGAAAAGAAAGAGGTCAGTCAGAGTGCGGCTGGGTCAAAAGTCTTACTCATGCTATATATTTTTATATCTCTAAAAACCAAGGCCCCAAACAATGGGGACATATACAAGAAAAAGCAGTTTTAGGGAAGAAAACAGCAACTGTCCAAAACTCTCACCTCAAATGCCACCTAAACCAGACACCTAGTTGGAGATCTGAAAAGGGTCAATTACTTTGGCTTTCCTTATGGACAAGTTCTATGCTATGAAATTGGGATGAAACATAAAAATGGGAAGGATCTCTTGTGTTAGAGTCCATAAACACATTTATAAGTTTATCAAGCTCCTTCTTATTACTCGTTAGGTTTTTTCCCCCCACTATTCCTATTGCAGGGCTGTTCCAGAACCTCCTTCCCTTGATGGTTAGAAAACAAGGGCAAAAAGCTCCACAGAACCATTAAATAGGGTTTTCTAGAAATGGGCAAATAGAACTGAATAGCAGTAGAGATGCTGCACTGCAGGGAACTGTATGTTTTCTACTGAAGTCCATTTGCTGGTTTAAAAAGCCCATAGACAGGAGGTTGTTGCTTTCTTTGGTACAGTCTGTAGGACTTTTCCAGAAGGTTTGCCTTAAATTTAACAGCCTGATTTAATCTTGATATGGAAGGGATATAATGCCACTGATGGGCTCTTTCTGCTCAACCCAAACCTGGGAATAGTGGGTATCTCACAAGGCAGAATGTTCTTGTTAAATTCCAGTGCAAAGTGTTTCAAAGAAGGAATACTCTTGTGACTGGGGTATGGGAGTGATAGGGTCTATTAATGGTGCTGTGCATGTAACACGCTGTATCGCTGTGATGTAACATGGAGTGAACCAGGATCATTGTGAATCAGATAGCCCCTCCTTGGCGTGCAGCAGGGGTTGTGAGGGGTACTGTCTTTAAGACACCTTCACTGAATGCAAAGAAGGTGCTCTGTGGAGTTGGAACCTAGATTCACGGTCATGAGGAGGTGAAGAAGGGGTGCCCTGAGTTGCTGAGGTTGGAACTGAAGAGATGTGCATCACTACTATATTAAAGAGTATCAGGCAAAGGTAGTATAGCTTTTTGCTGTATTTCCCTTCCTGTGATGCCATCCACAAAGCATAGCCCCTCTTTAAGGACACAGAACCCCCATAAGCAAGAAAGTATAGGCTGGAGGGCTTTCAAGTAGGTGCAGTGAGGTCTTCTTCCTTCTGTGGATCCCTTCAGCTGGATGCAGAACTCGCTATTCAGTTGTGGGTAGGGCAGGCACCTCCCCCCTGAATAAAGATGGCCAAGACCTGCAAAGGGAAGAAACCTCATGGAGATGTCCACCCTTGGTTTTTCACTGAAGAAGGGCATGATCCAGCCCATGCAGTTCAGTGTGTGGGATAATGGTCTTCTGCAGGAGTCCTACACCTTCCCAGTAGGTTCTTAGATACTTAAGCAGACTTGTTTCACAAATTTCCAAAGTTGCTGTTAGTACCCACCCCAAAGGCACAAATCTGGGCAAGATGTCTGCACAGTAGAATGCCAGTTCTGTGGGGCCTTTATTACAGAGATGGGCTGAACTCTAAAGGTTTTGGCATCAGGGTTTGTTAAAGACCACAGGCCAGATCCCCTTCTCCAATTAGATTGCTCAGGCAGCTCAAAGCTGTCCTAACCTAGCATCTGATTATTCTTGTTGCATCTACTTGGTGCAACCTGGAACCTGGAAGGTCAGCTCTTTACAAACTCTTGTTGGCTTGTTTGATGTAGTGGGCCAAAATGGGACATAACTTGCCTTGTGCAACTCAATGCCAGAAGACGTTGCTGAACCTGACAATTGAACCAGGTTCAAAAGGACTAGACAAATCCCTGCAGGATGTGTCCATCAGTGGGTATTAGATATTATAGTTCTGGGTGCAAGCTCCAAATTAGGACTACTCAGGCCTCTACAGGCTTGAGGCTTTAAGGGAAGAGGAGCAGCAGGCAGATCAGTCTTAATATGTCCTGCATAATATATGATCTTCCCTTTAGCATCTATTTGGTGTTACTGTTAGATACTGGATGCTGAGTTAGCTGGACTTGTGGTCTGGCCCACTATGGCATCTCGTATGTTTTATACCCATGTTTTTATGACAGGGAAAGGATGGTGGCCACATCATGTTGCGTTCAAAGGGCCATGACAGTTTGCTAAGCTAGAGAAGAAGCCTTGAGATTGCTCTAATTTAAATGAAGCACTTGGGGGTCAAACAGGCTTCTGTTGTGAGTTTTAGCTGGGAATGCCACAGCTTTTCTTGACTGGTATCTGGGTGTTCCTGGCCAAAGTGAACTATCAGAAATGGGTGGGGGAGGAAACTCCACTTATTTTCAGAACCTCAAAAAAAGAACAGTTCTCCAAATGAACAAGGAACTGATATATTTGTAGCTGAACCAACTGCTTTGCTCCCTCACGAGAACCTCAAGCAGTTGTGCAAGATTCTCTCTCTAGGGATTTTTTTTAACATGCAAAACCATAACTCCCCTGCAATTCATCTGAACAAATGAGCAAAGCTCTTTTCCAACAGAGAAGGCTGTAATCTCTCACTGCCTTAGCGAACAGAATTCAAAATGCAAAGTTGGGGAGGAGGGAGAGGAGGGGAATTGATAGATAAGAAAAGATTTCCAGGCACAGCTGTTGTGCTGCTTTTCCCAGGCACAGGGAACCAGTTATACACCATGATCAGAACTGGAGCTCCTTCTGCTGGTTCATGCATAATTCTGCACCACACACAGGTTGCAGCTGCAGAGAGACTGTTCAGTATGACTGGAATTGGGGAGGATTCTGTACGGCATGAGCAAAAGGAAAGCTTAGGACACAAACAATGGGTAGAGAAAGATGCACTGTCAGTTGAAACAGAGCAGTACTTCAGCATCCAGCAATGTCAGTTCAAATCATTTGGATCTCTCAGAGCAGAAACAAATTTAAAGGGATTTAAACCCATTTCTACTTTTCTTCCCACCTTCTACAGAAAGAAGCAACTCCCTGGCACTGGAAGAATTAGGAGAGAGCAGTAACTATCCAATGTCCCTCTGTGCTTATTCCAGTCTCACCTCATGCCTTGATAAGTAGCTGTTTCATGTTTCTTATCCCTGTACTTCCATCTAGATACTGTGCTGTCCATTAGCTAGCTTTAAAAGATGAGTGGTGAAATATAAGTGCCTTCTATTTCTCTAGGGGCTGAAACTGTGACAGTGCTGGGGAGTGGAGAAGATGCTAGGTTAGGAGCCCTCAATTATTATTGGTCTTGGGGTTAACTGAGGGAACACACTTCCTAGGAGGCACACAGCCTCACAAGTTTACCTTCCTACATGCACAGTGCGTTTCTGTGGGGCGCTAGGGAGTGTGCCCCATTAAAGTATGAATCTCTATGTGGTTACACACCCAGAGAATATGGCATAATTCAGTTAAAGGGAGAATTAGGTGCAGTTGTGGGTGACCTTTGGCCTTTTATGAGCACATTTTCACAGCGGCTCTCAAAACATGACACAATTTTTCATTTATTTGCTCTCATGTTTTGAGTGGTCAAAATCTGGCTCTCAAACTGCCCAAAAGCAAGCTGTGATTTGCTGAGAAATGAATTGCATGTTTGCCACTGTCCAACAAAAAACTTCTGTTCTGTTGCCAGTTACTGAACTGTTTTGTTTTTTCCCCCAATATTTTAGTCACAAAACTAGCACAGGTCTTGTTTCTGCTCTCAGGTATGGTAGACATTACTTTCATAGATACAGATGCAAGTAACAAGTCATGAGCAAAAGTCTTTATCTGCCTGTGGCAGAAAGCCACCTTGGTTTCTCCCCAAAAATCTCTGCCCTGTGACACTGTGATTTAAATCTCTGTGCTGTGACCATTCAATTAGGATGGGCCCAGCACACAGGGGACCACACCCTCAGCCTGGCTCTTTAGGGAACTGGAGCTGGCTGCATTCCTGAGGGAGGGGGGAACCTGCTCCCTCTGCTTACGTGACTTGCATCACTTACCTGGGTAAGGGGTTTCTACCTGGGGAGCTGGAATCTGCCCGGTAACAGGTGATGCATTTCAGATTGGTTGGCTGACAGCCAACTGGGG